GTTTAATCCTGTTCATATATCTAAAAATAAATTATTTTGGAAATACGTTCAGGTCACAAGTTTTCATTTCTCATTCATGATCAGAGTGGGTATTTCATTAGTGTCTGGGATTTCATAATGCAAGATCTTGAGGGATTATTTTGTGAAATTGGGCTGGTCCTAATTTCATAGGGTGGTCTCTTACATACTTTCTTTTCAAGTTGTCCCACTTCTTTTTGGACTTTACCCTGCAGGCCCATCTTCTCCAGAATTGTCCTTATAACATACACAAAAATAAGTGAAGACGAAACATGTAAGCTGTCAATCCGTTCTTGTAAAAATAGTTTTCATGGCAGAACACAAAAGGAAGGCCAGTGGAACTCCATTGAAAGTATACTCCATTTAAGATCACAGGTTATAAGTATTTTAATAACTATTATGATACGTTTATTCTTGTACCTCCATCCCACAGCGGCTGAATTCTTACACCCCGTGAAGAGGTGTTCATTTTTTCCCTCAGCTTTATAAAAGCTTCTGTCTGCTCCTTGGACCCTAAAAAATAGCAAATAAAAAGTCTCAAATTAAAAACTAGCTTAGTTAGCGGGAATACACGAAAAACTAAAGGACCCGCCATATGAGCTCATTCACGATATATCTGAGATAAATATTATTTTAAAACATATATGTGCAAAGGACTAACGCCTAACAATACAGCCGCTTTTTGTTTTCTATTTTTTACCGTCAGATTTTAATATACAGTACTTACATTTAAAACTGTACTCCTCCATCGCTTCGACTCTCGGTTGGTCCGCCATTACAAGAAAAAAAGAATCTCCGGTCGGTCCGCAATGCATTGTGGGATATGCTGGGCCGGGAAGGATCCATCAGACCAGTACTTCAAATCAGGGAAAAGGAAGGACGTACAGTATTTGTCGGCCGCATCGGAGGAGTCTTCGGTTTTGGATGGCCTTCGTCGCGGCGCTGTGATGTATGCAGCCGACGAATTCGGCCTTCGGAGGATCCGGCCTGCCGTTTTGGACACAGCCTTTAAATCATTCTGAGTCTCAAACCCCGTTGCTTCGACCAATTACATCAAGTATTGAGCTCCAGCGTTTAAACTTTTTTTTTTTTTTCAAAAAAGAGCTCCGATTGTAGAGTAAAATAAATCAATACATACAAAATTTTAGTATGGATTACAAACGTTTCTGCTTTTGCTATTGCCTTACTGCTACATAAGCAGACACAAAGCATTGTGGGAAATCAGAACTGTGACCGAAAGCAACAGTCTGCAAGGATGTATACTTTCTCAATGAGTGCATTTATCTGGTAGGGGTGCTGTTGGACAGATCATGTGTGATGTGATTCATTGACAGCCTTACCTTCCGCTGTTCAAGGTAATGACTGGCAGATAATTCGTTATCAGCGGTACTGCATTTTAATTTTAAAAAGCGCAAATCTGCTTATGAGTTATAAAAAATAATAAAACCACTAAAATGCAACAAAATATTTAGGTCTGCAATTAACGGATTTGCGATTTAGTGGGCTGGTGCCCACCACTGGTGGATGCATATCGTTTGAGTAGAACTCAGCCAGAACATTGTGTTTGTCTTGCTGTGCTTCGTAGGGAGGGTGGAGAGTTCAGAGAAGGGAGGATTAGACAAAGGAGGGTGAGAGTTAGTAGACGAATCAGGAATGGTTGGGGGTGTGGTCTGTTAGGTTTATATAGAATGTTAACAGTGAGGCTAACCTAATCAAAACAAATGTTTAGATTATTTAGAAGAATTCCTCCTAGTGACTGTTTATAGTTCACTGAGGTTAGACGTAGTATTATTTTCTGATTTTGAAGTATACTTTAGAGTTAGTAATATAGTGTGATCGGTCAGATGGGGGGATAAGTCTAAAGCCTGTTTCACACCAAGCGCGTTTTGAGCAGCAGAAATGCGCCCAACGCCTCAAGTTGGATGTACTACATTCAGACCGGGAAACAGACTAGACGCTCGTCTGAAGAGGGAGGAGCGTCTTGGTTTTTCCCGGTCTGTCTTTAATGATGGGTGAAATAAAGATAAAATAAAGAAACTGGCTTTGCTTTATTTAGGGAAGCTTTATTTACCGAAGCGAAAGTTGTGCACACCAGATAATTAATTCACCAGATAATTTAGAAGTGGTCTGTTTGGTGAGTTTCACCACTCCAGAAGCTGCGAGCTGACTATTTTTTTTGTCCTGGGCCCAGTTTACACCACGGTCAGTTTAACAAACTGCTGACCCGCATCATTGCTGATATCTCCTGCCCAAACACCAACTGCAGATGGTCGATTTCAGCTAAAGTGCTCCTGTCCATCTTTTTCAGGTTCAGGAAACCGTCACGTGGAAAAATGATTCTCTTTGATTTATTGCTGCAGCGCAACAAGCAGCGAAAGTTCCGTTTTTTAACTCGAGCAGTGGCTGCTTTGGATGTGCCACATGCACGGAAAATGCTCTGCCACATCCTACCGCTACCTTGCGCGAGGCACTAAACTGGCAAAACGCACCGCGCTGCTCCTAGATGAGCATCCACCATAGATTTTGCATGTACATTGGCTGCTTTGGCTGCTCAAAACGCGTCCGGTGTGTACCCAACTTAACAGTGGTAGTCCTCTCTTTTGTGGTGCTATGTTATGTAACCCATAATGCTTTGCAGTTGGGTAGGGGGCGGGGTTTATTGTGGTACGGGCCAGGATTGGTGGATTGTTTTGTGGTTTGCTAGGGATTGGTGGATTAGCTTTTAATGTTGGGCCCCCATTTTTGTAATAGTTATTTTGTTTTATATAGTATTTGTGGCTATTTTGAGGTCTGGAGTTTAAAGAAGCTGGGTATTTTAGATGTCTGCTTGGGGTAATAACCTTTGTTCGGTTAAGGTTTCTTAAAGGAGGAGTATTTTATATATGTAGAAACCTGTGTGGTTAGGTAAGGGGTTAGTGTTAGGCATGTATCTGTGTGGTTAGTTTTAGATAAGGTGGAGTCAGATCTTCCAAGACGCCATTGGAGACAATCGATTGATTTATATGGGCTGTGTAAGATATAGTGAAAGATGGCAGGCATATTCCAGTGAGTGTAGGTGTAGGGGAGTGGTCAGGAATAGTTGCTGGTGTGGTTTGGAAGGTGTATATGGGATGTCTACAGTGCCAGGGTATCCGCGGGGTTGTAAAAAGTATTAAAATGTAGTAAACGCCATATGACGAGGTATTAATTTTTAAACAACTAGCGCACTTTCGCCATGCTGGAATCTGATGCGCTGCTGCGTGGAAAACAGATTTAACAAACATTTCTCTGGCCCAATCTGAGACACAGCTTTAACTTTAGACAGGCCTATTAGCCAATCAGAAATAGTGTGGGAGCGGGTCTTAAGTGTCTCTAGTAGCAGAAGTTGGAGCGGTGTTTTAAATAAAACATTTTTGTTAGGACACGTCTGAAAAAGAACAGGAGACGATATCAAAGCTGGGTGATTGTTAAAAGTCAGAAAAGATAAACCTGCAGAAGGATTACTGACTCCACCACCTGAGAGGAGCCGTGTGTCGTGGATGCTAGCTTTAGCTAAAGCTAGCTGGAGCAGAGCAGGGGAGAAGAGAGGAGCATGTGTGTGAAGCAGGTGAGGAGATTAAAGAGTAACTTACCCCAAAATTAACTTTTTTTAGCTGATAAAATGTCTAGAATGTGTCTAAAATGTTATATAGTACCGTTTCTGTGCTAATTTTGATGTTTTCTGCGTATTTGTTCAAATCTGTAATATTTGGTCTAAAAACGTCTTCTTGCTGCTCATATGGTTAGAGCAGTGGTACTGCAGCCTAATTTGCATATTGGTTAACAGCTCTCCACTGTGACGTGCTTCTCCACGGTTTCATCACAGCAGCTGTGTTCTGGTATAAAAGCCTCTCTCTAAGACACGCCCCTGCAGCAGTCAGAGGGTGGAGCTGTTAGTAAGCTCAGCATGATCGTCTGTTGACCTTCAGCCTCGGGTGGGGAGAGCTGACTGCTGCGCTTCTCTCTCTTTCTCCCTCTCTCCACACACACAGAGAGACAGAGACAGAGACAGAGACAGAGAGAGAGAGAGAGAGAGAGAGAGAGAGAGAGAGAGAGAGAGAGAGAGAG